TTCAGCTCAAGGCTAGTGCTCTACCACTTGAGCCACAGTGCCACTTCTGGCTTTTTCTGCTTATGTGGTGCTGAGGAATCAAACCCAGGGCCTCATGATACGAGGCAAGCACTCTACCACTGAGCCACTACCATCAGCTTTTCATGCAGCTTTCTTCATCTTCGTTTTTCTCATTGTGAGGTGGCACCTCACTGTGTAAAGAAGCCTTACAGATTTAAACGCAGCCATTCATTCTTAAGAATCAGTGAAGCCACTGACTTGTGTCTGCTTCAAGCAAGGCTTATGTGTCCTGGTCCCTTTCTCTTCAGGTTGCTGAGTCATTAGGAATCACCGAAGAATTTCTGCAGCAGAAAGAAATACACCCAGACTGTACTGCACGGAAGCATGTTAGCGCAGAGATGCACGTGGACAAGCTAGAGGGAGCCGGCAGACAGAAGAGGGAGAGTGAGGTGGGCATCGCTGTAGTGGTGCCACGCTGGCACCCCGGGGGTGCAGTGCGGTGTGGTCAGTTGACAGCGCTCCTCTCAGGGAGGAGGGCTGCAGGGCTCTCACTTCTGGATTTCAGCTGAAGGGACTCTTCTCTTCTCAGGCTGCAGGCGAGGGGCTGGCCACAGGGAAGAGGCCCCGAAGACTAGTGGGGCCATCAGACAGCCCTGAGCCTCTTGTGGTGGACAGCAGAGACCCAGAGGAGTCCAGGCCCTTGTGTGTCACAGCTGCCTGCGAGGGTAAAACGGCTTCTTGGGCTCTCCCCAGGTTAAGGGCCCCCGCAGCTGGATTTAAGAGAACTTTTTGGTCTCTCAGATTTGGTCCCAATCTCCCAACACTCTTTCCATGTTCATGCCCCAGGAGTCTTCAGGTCTTTGATATTTTTAGAGCTTTCTTTTAAAGTGAAGAGTCACTTGTGGTGGTGAGTGGGTACCACCAGGCTGGTCCAAGAGGTTGGGCAGAAATGGGACCCAAAGACCACAGGCACCAGCTGGAAGTGGGGCTGTGCCTCAAAGTTTGTAGAGTACTAGTCTTGAGCAAAAAGAGCTCAGGGATAGTGCCCAGGACCCAGGTTCAAGCTCTACAACTGATAAAACAAACAAGACCAAAAAAAAAAATCCCCCAAAACAGAGGCACTTATGACTTGGTTTTCATGAGACTTGGCTCTGACGGGTAAAATTTAACATTTGAAAATAAGATTTTAGCTTTTCCTTCTGGCTGTAACCAGATTCTATCTTCTGTGCATGTGAAAAATGCCTGCTAGATGAATACTCTACCGTTCTACCACTAAGTGACATCCCAGCCCTTATAAAAAGGTCTTGTCCGCCACCTGATGCCTGGCCTGATCCTCAGGTCTCAGACTGGCAGAGGCAGTCTCCGTTTTCGAACTTACTACTGGGGAAAGCTGATCTGTTGAGTGGGACCAACCAACATGGGTGTGCAACACACCTGCTCATGGAGCCACTTTCACATTTTAGCTCCATCTGGAAGCAAAGTAATCCATGTTTTAGTTCACTTCCATTTAGCTTGCAGTTCTTAAGTGTTCATATATATATCCTGAATTGTCCTTGTCCCAGGTGTCCAAGGACAAAGACTGAGTAAGGCCCCCTCACCCTCAGGGTGCTGACCTCAAGATTGTGGCCCTTGGGCTGAGAATGTGGCTTAGTGGCAGAGTGCTCACCTAGCATACATGAAGCCCTGGGTTCCATTCCTCAGTATCCAATAAACAGAAAAAGCTGGAAGTGGTGCTGTGGCTTAAGTGGTAGAGTGCTAGCCTTGAGCTAAAGAGCTGAGGGACAGTGCCCATGCCCACAATTCAGGCCCATGACTGGCAAAAAAAAAGGGGGGGCTGGGAAGGTGACTCAGTGGTAGAGCGCTTGCCTTGCATGCATGAGGCCCTGGGTTCGATTCCTCAGCATCACATAAGCACATAAAAGCTGGAAGTGGTGCTATGGCTCAAGAGGTAGAGCACTAGCCTTGAGCTGAAGAGCTGAGGGACAGAGCCCAGGCCCAGAGTTCAGGCCCCACGACCAGATG